CCTCAGCCTCCCAAAGGCGCGGGATTACAGGCTGAGCCACCGAGCCCGGCTTGTTTAAGTAATTTTTAAGATCTCATAGTAAATGATGGAGCCAGGTTTCAAATCCGGCGGTCTGGTTTATAGCCACTACATGGGGCAGCCACCTTTTGGGTTCTGGGCGTGTTGTATTCCATGAACAGTTACACACTATCGCCTGCTCCTCTGGCACTGGGCTGGGAGTAAAGATATCAATGAAGTCCTTCCGTTGATTAATGCATTGTTTGAGCTGCTTATGAATTGCATACTGTTAAGAATAATAGACAGTGTTTAAACCGCTGCTAAGAATAATAGACAACATTTATAAGGTCCTTATTACTGTGTCAATAATGTGACAGGAACTATTATTATCCTTGTTTTATGAGGCGGAGTGACTTACTCAAGGTCAATACCTAGAGAGTGGTGAAGCTGAGGTTTGAAACAAGTCCAAACTCATAACCTCTGCACTATCTGGGCTCAACCTGAGGGCCTACCATGTGCTGGGCGGTAAAAGGGTTAGAGAAAAGAGACCCAGGTCGTCAGGAAGGAAATGGGGGAAGCAACGCCTTCCTCACTGGTTTGGGAGGAGCACATGAAGAACACGGTGCTGAAGACGTTTTATAAAATGAGTCAGGGGTGGTGGGAACAGAGAGGAGACAGGAAGTTGCAGGGTGTGGACGCTCCGCTCCGTGGTAGAGGCGCCTCTTCTGAGGAGACCACAGAGGTACTGGCCTGGCTGTAGGGTGGGGAGGAGTTGGGGGGAGAAGGCTTTTGGGAGTAGGTGGCCCAGCTGGAAGGCAGCTGTCCTCCCAGGGAGGGGGGAAGTGGGAGTGATGTTACTGGAAGGGAAAGCAGCGGTACGAAGGGGATTTTATCTGAAGGCAATGAGAGCCAATGAATATATTTTGATTTTAAAAAGTAATGTTCAAATCTATTCAGGGTAGTAAGATCAAGAGCCTAGTCTGTGACTGATGACTCCATATTTTATGTAAACGATTAGGAAGTGAGCATGGTGTGTGTGGGGTGTGTGTGTGTGTGTGTGTGTGTGTGTGTGTGTGTGTTAGAGACAAAGGGATATGTGGGAACCCCCAGATAAAAGTATATGGAATTCAGAGCAACACCGGACGAAGTGTTTCTGGCTAAGTTGCAACTGGCTCGGATTAAACATGCACCCCCTCCCATTCCACTTTAATTTGGGTTTGGGATTTAATATGCCATAACATAAACGGGAGGGACCCTGCACGCCGCAGTGGAGGGATGCTGCCTGAGTCTGTCGCCCAGACAAGAGTGCAGCGCCACACTCACGGCCACCCCAGCACGACCTGGTGGGATCCGACGATCCTTCCACCTCCGCCTTCCAAGGACCCAAAACTACAGGTGCGTGCTGCCTCGCCCGGCTAATTTTTTGGGGGATTTATTGTAGAGATGAGGCCTCGCCCATTTGCCCGGGCTGGTCTCGAACCCGCGGGCTCAGGCAATTCACTCGCCTCGGCCTCCCAAAGTGCTGGGATGACATGTTGAGCCCCCGAGCCCGGCCGGACAAGATTCTTGACCTCTCTAGCCCTGGGCCGACGCCTCCACCAAGTGGAGATAGCATTCTAGAGCTGCCTCCTTGGTGGGTTACTAAGACGTGAAATAGCAGACAGGAAGGTCGCGGCCACGAGCTGCACAATGCACAGTGCTCGTCGCTGCGAGCTTTCTTGTCATTTCGTGCGGAGCAAACAAGCCCGAGGCCCCACGGGCCCCAGCCCGCAAACCTGGCGGGGGGACG